TTTTTTTTTTTTTTTTTTTTTTTTGTGGGATTTGCAGGAAAAGCAGAAAATTGCAGGGCTTCATCCGACATTCTTTTGAACTGATATCATTGCAAATCTGCTGTGAATTAGCTGGAAAATTGATGGCTTCCAGAGTCACACTCACCCCGGGCTGGTGTTTCCCGCGGCTTCTTTTTCCCTGCAAGCTCCGCCACTCTGCAGGGAATGCGATGCGGTTGTCTGGAAGGCTGGTGGGGACCCAAAGTGCTCATGGTGCCATCAGATTCACATGCGCCAGCTTGGATGGGCCTCCAAGAGGCTCCCCGCCATTGTGAGGCTGGTGAACAGGTGCGTAGAAGTCCGTCCAATTTTGATATTTTAGATAGAAATGGTGATTGAAAAGAAGGTGGTGCTGTTAAAAGCACGTACTAACTATGGTGGGCCTTCACCCAGGTCAGAAGGCTCCTTACACCGGCTTTCCCAGTCCTCATTCCCTAATGACCAATTAAAGAAGGAAAAGTGAAACAAAAACCCCAACTTGTCTTCATAAGAATGGATTAATGGCAGTAAAAATGATCAAACAAACTATTTGCCGGGGTTTTATCTAGGATCCAGGAAGAACCGTCGCTCCTTGTTTAATGCCTGGAATGCAACGTCCTGGAATGTGTCTGGAAGGTGTCTGCGTGTCCCTAGAGATGTGGCCGGGAGTCGGAGCTGGTTCTGATGTGCAGCAAAGCCACTCTGGTCGCCAGTCTCCATAGCTTGTGACTGCAGTGAGGTGAAACGCCCGGAGAAACAGGGCAAATAGAACGTGAAGAATAGCGAGATGAACTTAATTCAGAACTGACCAGGATGGAAATTTCTTTAGAGTATAGTGCTGAGGTTAGAATAAATATTCTTACACCTTTTAAATGAATATAAACTGGTACTCAAAGCAGGGGTGATTTTCTTGATTCAGCTCATATTCTGCATGTTTATTTTCATTACAAGAGAACACAACTATTTGAATATAGTACTTTTTTTTTTTATTTAGCAAGTTTTCAGTATAGCTTTCAATTTGCATTGGACTTGGTAGTTTCCTCATTTTTATGTCCCTCAAACCTGATCCCAAGCGGCTTTATTCAGTCTCCTCAGGACCCTGCGCAGCGGCCGCGTTTCTGCTGCAGAGCTCCCGTGGTTTCAGCGGGAGCTTCTGCAGGGAAGACTCATGGAAACCAGCCCCGTAATTGAATCCATCCACTGATCCCGCACTCGCCCGTTGTGAAAACCTCCCCAAACAGACGGCGTGGAAGAAAAGGCAGAGCCGACGGACCACCCAAAGCCGCAGGAGCAGCCGAGCGCTCCCTCTCCTCCCTCTTTATCCCGGAACTCATTTCCACGCTCCCACATCTAGCGACGGGGGAGAAAGGGCCACCCTTGCTGGTAATTACCAGAAGCCTTCCATAATTAAGAGGTATTTAGAAAATAATTGTCAGGCTCAGGTGTTTGTGCGACGCTCCCCTCCCGGCTTCCCGGTGTCCCTGTGGAGGGAGGCCAAGGGCTGCCCGTCCCGGCCGCACTTTGCTCCTCCCTTAACCCACTTGCAGGGAGCGGTCGCGCGGCGGTAGAATTTGCTCTTATAAATTTTAGATTGTTCCCACATGTTCCGTCTCACATCTGCTTGGTGTTTGAAGCCAGACTTTCCCCCTTTTTTCCTAGGCATTCGGAGCAGTTTGCTTAATCCGCCTGTATCAGGCTGAATGGCAGGAAATTAAAGCTGAATTATTTAGCTTTGGGAGCCGGGGCAAACAATGCAGTTGTGAGGAACGCCCCGGTGAAGGAACTCGAGCCAAGAGACTGCTCCGCAGGTGGCCCGGCCTGTCCTCGGCCCCGGCTTCCTGGCCTTGGGAACGGCAGCGGTGCCCGGCTTGGAAAACAGCGCGCACGGCTCTGCCTGCTGTCCATATCCCGACAGGCGGAGCAGCGAGCGCGCCTCGCTCTGCTCCGTGGTGACTCCGGGTACAATCGGAGCTTTGTCACGGCACTTTGGAGCAGCTGAGCGGGCGTTTTGCCAAGGGGCACCGTCACACGAGCACGGCTGCTTACACAGAGGCTGTCACCGGAGCTGCCAGGGCCAGGGTGGCGGCCACAGCGAGGGCTGCGGGCTGCGCTTCTGCTTGGATCTGCTTGGTCACACCAGGTGTGACCGTGCGGGCCAGAACCAGCACTGCCAGGTTCCGGGGAGGAGGAGGGGAGAGGAGGTTCCTCTGAAAGGAGGTTCCTCCTTTCTCTGCAAAGGCAAGGTCAGACCTGGTTTCTTCCTGAGCTCTAGACCTTGGCCACATCCAGCTTGTTAGCTCAGCAGTGGAGACAAATACATGGTGAAAATAATCCCAGAATGAACCCTTCGAACATGAGGAATTGTACAGCGTGAAACAACTTGATCTTCTCAGGAAAACTCCGTGTGTGCTGATGGGTCAGGTGGAGCATTCGCGAGATGTCCAGCCTTGCTCCCTGCCAGCGTGTGCCCGGTGTCCTGTCTCTGTCCCATGTGCATCCCGGACGGCTGCAGCGACGACTCCGTGGCTCCAGCAATGCCCTGGGGAGCATCCCTCCCCGCGGAGCGAGCTGAGCTCCGCTTCGGTCGGACCTCAGCTGCATTTGTGGGGACGCTTCATTATCCTCTGCCAGACCTTTTCACTTGCCATTTGTTTTTGGTGTTGTCGTGGGAAAACAGACCTTGCTGAAAAGCTCCAAGTATCTTCAGCCTGTGAGCAGAAAAGGGTTGGTCTTGACAGGTTTCTGAGACTTGTTTTCACTCCAAGCGACAAGATGTGGTGGTTTCATGTAGAATTACACTTATTTGTGCCTTTTGACTTTTTTAAAAGCTTCTGAAAGTCTAGAGTAAACACTGTGTATTCTCTACTCACTGAGAGTTTACTAAACATATCCCATTCTGAGGCTGATTTATTTTTTGTGGACAACCAGTCACCAAGTGATCAGTTCTTAAAAAGAGACTGAAAAGCCCATATTCTTTAGGGAAAACAAAACAAAAACAAATGAAAAAAATTGGAGCAAATAACTGATTGAAAATCTAGGAGTTCATAAGCTTGAGAATACTCTTTTTTTTTAAACCAAACCAAATGCCGCTCCGTGACTGTCCCAGGTTGTCATTGCCACTGTAAGCGACGGACCACAACTGAAAGGTGTTTTGTTCCAAAACCCCTTTTCCATAGAAGAGGGCACGTAGTAGAAGTTAGAAAAATCCAGTGAGTTCTCATGCCATAAGTAATAACTCTGAGAACATGAGTCAACGTTAGATTTGGCTTCTTGGAGGATATTTAAGAGGTTTGGAAAGGGAGCTCTTGGCTGCTCCGTGTGCCTAGCGGTCTCCGCTGCAGAGGAGGTCACTCCTCTAGTTTGCTACTGTGTTTGGAGGAAAATCCTGGCTTTTTCCTCCCTTTCTGGGCTCATTGCAGTGTTCTGTCCTGCCCTGCTTCCAGGCTGTGCCGTGGTTGGAGAAAGAGCCTGGATTTTGGATCAGTCTTAAGTTTTCTTGAGAGGTGAATTATTACCAATGGATAATGTGTTCAGAACAATAGCATTTATCTAAGTCAGTCTAAGAGAAAATAGTCAAGAGCGTTAGATCGGTTTTACTATATTATATGTAATAGCATTTGCAGCTTATTTTCATGCCTGGCCTTTTCTTCTGCAAATAAAACTCTTAGTTTTATTTGCAGTTATTTTTATGATTTCAAGTATTATCCATTTGCATTTAGTTGAATTTCATGTTTCATTGGTAGAATAAAAAAAAAGTAATCTGAAACCAGCTCTGTAACATAGATTCAATTTATGTGCTAGAATCACAGAATCAAAATGAAGAACCTTTCCTAAAATGGAGTTTCTAGCAGTACAACAGCTTTCCAACCTTTTCAATAGAAGCAATTTGCTATTCGGAAGGAGATGCAGGCGTCTGGCTTGTGTGGTTGTAAGCACAGAGAAATCAACTCGAATATTGCAAACCGTGAAACTGTCCTGATTGCAGGGCCGATGTTCCGTGGTGCTCAGGACCTGGAAGGGGAGCTCCTGGGTGGGAATGTGGCTGCCCGAGCTGCAAGCAACATGCAGCACATGCCCAAGTGAATCGTTTTCTATAGATGCAGACATGAAAGCAATGTGTTTTAATTGCAGATTTAACTAATCAAGTCGAGGTGATTGGACTGGAGCTGCGGAAAGTGACGGCTGAGATGGAGCACTACAAGAAGCTGCTCACGTAAGCTGCCCCTCCAGCCCCTTTCTGCAGAGAGACCCTCCTGTTGCTTGTCCCGGGGTCTGAAAGGTTATGAGCAAGGGCGAAATTGTTGTTATTAAGCAGCCCGTGGAAGGTGGATTCCCTTCTCCAGCTGTGCTTAGTGATGCAGTCAAGAGGAGGGTTAAACCAGCTGGCTCTGCTGCTTCGTTTAGTCTCAAGCTCAGCATAAACTTTGCGAAGCCACCAAACTTACGGGCTACAAGTGTATGTGGGAGGTAGTATTTGGATTTGGGGTGGAGGGAAGAGTGCAATAAGAGTGTTGAGAAACTTATTATTTAAAGAGTGACTATGATTTTTAATTTTCACCACATGTAAATTTGCTGTGGGTCTTTCCCATGCCTCAGTGTGGTGTTAGGACTTTGCTGTCCCCTGGTTTCAGGTAAGTTAAGCAAGGAGAAGCCTCCCCGCTGCGGCAGGGTATTGGGGTGCCCAGCGAGCAGCCCCCCAGCTCCATCACAGCTCTAGGGAGAGTTTCCCCATCTCCTTCCAAGGCTGTAGCAGCAAAGACCCGAGTGCTTTTCTGGAGTCAAAACCTGCATTTCATGCTTTCTAGAACAGCAATGAGCTTAGAAAGAACATCAGCTTTTATAACACAGCGATGAAAATAAATGTTATTGCCTGAAATATTGAACTCGAGAGTGATGAGCTAGTGAGGGCAATCTCAAGAGCAGCTATTGTCATATTTTTAATAGGTTTTCCTGAAATTTAAATGATTCTTTCATGATAGGTACTTTCTGTTTTCAGTTCCTCTGTTCAGAGAATCTGATCATAACAAAGTTGCAAATATTTTGAGTGCTTAGCAACAAGGTATTTTAGTGATAATACAAGTGTTAAGAATGAAAAAAAATTTCATCAGCACAGTTATAGACACACTAAAGTGTTTCCAAGTGCAGTATTAAAATTTCAGTGTAATATGGATACAGCTTATATCTGTTTAGATATAAATATGAGGTTTAACCATGGTTATTAATTGGTGAAATGATGACATAATGACAAGAAGCCGTCAAAGTTTCCAGCCCTCTTACCTACTAAATTGTTGCTTGTTCATTTTTAGCCACATCTTTCTTGAAACATTTATCACTGCTACATGATTATACTTCTTGTTTGCACAACAAGCGCTGTGATTTTAGATTAGTCTGAGATTACATTGAAAATGTAAATTATCTTACTTAAGAAAGTTAGCTGGAGTGATTGGAACTCTGTGATCTGCATTTTGCCTTCCATAGATTTTTCTGAGAATATTAATTTTCTGTCTGCATCCTTTTTACTCGCAGACTCAAAAATACAAGTTGTGAATCTTCTTTTGTTCTAAAGTGAAGATAAATTTATTTTAAAATGAGCAAGTTGATATAAATCCATCTCTTGCATTGAAAGAAGGTTTTTTTTTTTTTTTAATTAAACATTTAAATTCATGTACCATTTGGTCAGAATCTCTGTACCCAACTAATTCTAGCAACTCGTGGCCTTGGTTTATGTCACCATTAGGTCACCATAGGAATGGGGATCAGATGGCATGAGGAGATTTTGTAAATTTGTAGGATGTAGACAAAAATTTGAGCCCTTTTGAAGCTGCTGCAGTTTTGCACTGATGAGGGGGTCTGGTTCTGCAATTACAAGAAATAACTTTTAGGAATACTCTAATTTTCCACTTGAAATTGTTAGAAAAAATATGTGTCAGGATTAATTGGACAGGTTGAAGAACCCCTTCCTTGAAATACTAGTGCATTTCTTAAATTCCCACCGTTCTCAAGCGAGCCGTTTAACAGAATCCTCTTTTTTCCCCGATTTAAAGGCGTGCTCTGGCACCCGCCCCGTGCTAACGGCCCCGCTCTTAATTAGCGCCCCTGCAGACAACCCCGCACTAATTGTGGGGCTGTTATTACTAAGGATTATTATTAAGGTCAGCTGGAAACTCCGTGTCTCATTTCTTAGAAGGCTATATTTAGAGGTTTTAATGGAAGGCTATTCCAAGTTTATGAATGCAAAAAAACGTTGCAATAAATCAGGCCAAAAGTTCGTCTTCCGCAGTATCCTATTTTCAGCAGTGGCTCTGAGCAGATGTTTAGGGGAAAAAGGCAAGAATAGAGCAAATATGAAAGAATCCTTCCCCTAATAAATCCTTTGACAGTCTGTTTAGAGACTTCTGAAGTCAGAGGTTGCATCCTGTTACAGAAGTGTAATAATGTTGGAGAATCTATTTTTGATGAATATGTCTTTTTCTAAATCCATTCTTTTTTCTTCCAGCTTCCACAGGATCCCACAGGAATGGTTTCACAGTTTGCTTTTCACACACTACCAATGTAATCCCATCAGTTGCTTATTTAAACTTGAATTTCCACTCACATTTTCACTAACACCTACTCCCGCGGGCTGAGCACCAGTTAAGAAAAGAGCATCCCTCAAACACGCTTGTTGAGCATCCTCGCTTGTTGTAACATTTGTTACGTGACATTGTTACATGAAATGTTGTAAACCTTTTCGTAGGACGAAATCAAATGAAGTTGATGTCTGCCAAAATGAGCTGAAGAAAATGAAATACGAAAATGGAATTTCTGAATCGAGGTAAATTTTAAAATTATGTGGCGTAACATAACATAGGTGCATGTCTGAGTGATGACAGTGAAGAATTTAATAATTTTAGTGTAGCTTTTTATACAGTCACTTTTTACTATTTTTATTTTCTAGTTTTATGTTAGTTGTGAGATTTACCTTTGTAAAAATATATACTTTTTTTTTTGCCTAACATTCTCTTTTCCTTGCACAAATTATTTTAACCCATTTAGTTCCAGTCTGCAAACAAGAATATAGTAACTATAATGCTGATATATTTTTATTTCCTCTGCAGACTTGCAAAAGAGCTGAAGGAGAAGGAGGAATCACTGTTAATCTGCCAGCAAGTGTGCAAGCATTTGCGGGAAGAAGTGGCTGAGAAAGAGAGGAAGGAAGAAGAGCTGAAAAGAAGAACAGGCCGAACAGACGGCGAGATAGAAGCACTTAAATCTCTCCTCAGACAGGCAGAGGAAGAGGTGATGATGTTGAAACAAGACAGGTAATCAGAGCAGACTCACCCCAGATAATGCAATTTGATTGTACATTCAGCCTGGTGTTTCTCTGCCAGATACTCAGGGTTTCTTGCTTTTATCACAAACCTCTGTAAAACGCGAGGCAAGCTCATATGTGCCAAGCACCTTGGAGCTGCTGTCACAAGCCAATAAATTTTTAAGCAAAAGGAGCCTTCATAGCTTTTAGTGACATTGCTGTATTCCAGGTTATTGCAATGCAATAAAAAGCCAACTTTAACCTTGAGACTGGTGAAAAAATAAAACATTAGGTGATGAACAGTTTAATTTTCCCAGTTATCAGTGTTGTTTCATTTAGTCTTTGCAATAAAAGCTAGCTGTTTGCCATAGCAAAATGAGACAAAATTAGAAAAATATGGATTTAAATCAAAGCCCGCAAAAAAGAATATTTTAAAGTATGTAATGTAGTCCAGTTTTAAATGAAGTACCTCTGCTTTTTTACGCGGATTTTGGAAGTTTCTGTGAGATTGTCTGTATTGCAGTTTATTTTATCCCGTGAGACTTCTACTGTCCAGCCCTTCTGTTTCATTCTATTACCATTCCAGTTACTTCCAGCATAATTTTACTATCAAAGTCCGATCTCAACATTTAAATACACGTGAAACAGTAGTCTGTTGAGGTGCATGTAAAGTTAGATATTGTCTGTAAAACATGTTGTTGAAACAAGTATGTCACATGCTCGTTAATTACATAATTTGCCTACCTGCATAAAAACATATTGCTTGTTAATTTAAGATGATTTCCCATCTACTTAAAGCTTGGATACGCATGTTGTTGCAGTCGGTAGCAACTGTCTGCAATTTAGTGTAATGTAAATTGTAATTAAGGTACAAGAATTCAATCTCTCCTGGGTTCTTGTTCTACAAGCCTCACATAACAAGCAGTCCCTCTAACAATAGCAGCCACTCGGTGGTTTTAATTCAAAACCTGTTACCATTTTTAAATTAATTGCAATAATACTTGAAGGTCATTAAGTATCATAAATTATTTTACACGTTTTAGCAGTTATTTAGTGTGCACCAAAGTTTTACTTGAGACATATAAAGATATTTAAGGTTTATGTAGGTATGTTTGGAAGAAAGATCAGTAATATTTTTTTTCTTAAAAAAATAAAGCTCTAAAGCGTGTGACAGGGTTATGCCAGTGCTAAATAGTGAATATTGCTGTGGCCTCCAGACAGGTGCATGGGGTTTTCTGTACTGAATACTAAAGAAAGAGGGAAAAAATGAGCCCTTCTCACAGAAGGCTGAGTTGCCAGCAAGCAGCATGCCATCAGCTAGGCAGGGCTCCTGTTTACATGTGAGTTTTTGTGGTTTCTAGGGAGTTAATGCTGATTTCTCATCAGAACAGAACAGAGCAGCTGCAGGAAGCGCTAAGGCAGAAGCTGCAGAGCGAGGATGACCGGAGGGCGAAGGTAATTCCAGGGGATGCAGCGGGCACCTCTCCCTTGTTTCCTTTGGTTCTAGTTGCTGTCGTGGATCCATGGGGTAAGCCAGGCGTCTGTTTCCTCGAGTGCAAATATGTCGATAGATGTAACTTCTAGCAGCCAATGTAATGACTAACGATGTAACAGAGAAGCACAGAAAAACACATGTTTAATTTGGAAGCACTTCCAGAGGGAAAATGGGGTTGTGTGGGGTTTGCAAAATGGAGAGAACACAGACCCTCCAGTGCGGGAGGGGTGAGTCCAAACAGCAGCTCGTTGGTTGTAAAATAAACCTATGAAGTGTAAAAATATGAAACATAATCAGCCAAAATGGCCTTTCCTTTGAAGACATGGATGTGCAAACTATAGTGGAGCTGCGCAAGCGAGACACTGGAGCGGGACTGCAGCTCTCAGCAGTTGTTGAATGAGCAAATACAGCTGAGTCCTCAATCACAGAGCTGGAGAGCAGGGCAGAATTCCTGCTGATACCATGCCTGCTAGAGGGCAAATGCCTGTGCCGGGCACCTGGTGTCCTGGGACGAGGAAGGGACTTCAGGAGCAGGGATGGAGCGGAGCCTGGGGACGTTATTTGGGATGGGCGTCTGTTACTCTGTGTAATGGCAGGGCAGCATGGGCTGCCCTGCTCTCAGGGTGCGCCCTGCAAGTGCAGACACTGCAGCTCGTTATTTCCATTGGGCTTTCCTTAGTCTCTGGACTCAGGATCTTTTGCCTTGTTCTGCAGAGCAGGTGGAGTTTTTCTGTATTTTCTGTTTGTTAAAACTTTATTCTAATCGGAAACACTTTCTTATAAAATTTGTTACCAAAATTTTCATCGTCCTGGTTTCTTTTTCAGGATGTGGTAAGTGTCTGGAAGTTTTATTTAGTCTTAGAAGCATTTTTGGTCTGCTAGCAATTAAGATCAGTTACATTTCTCTTCAAATTTCTTAACCTTTCCATCTGAGGATATAATTTCAGAATGAGGTCATACTCTCTGCCTAATCACAATATATTGTTGAACTGATAGGAAAGAAAGATAAAATCTAGTACTAGTAAGAGAGAGCAAGTGCATTTTTGGAATCACAGCCCATAAATCAGGCACATCAGATGCTCTGGAAAAATGGACAAAGGAATCAGAAATGTGACAAAAAGACCAAATTCTTTTTATTTGCATGGTGTGTGATTGCCTAAGCATAAAGTGTCCCAGCCTTATATTTAAAAGACAAAAAAGGCCCTAAAATTGTTGTGATGGAACAAACATAAACCTCGTTTAGAAAGAAATTTAAAATTGATGAAAACGTTTGTTTTAATATTTAATTTTTTATATTTAATGAATGAAGGTCATGCAAGAGGTTTTAAAGCCACTCATAGTCATTATGCTTTCAAGCAGAGCAAGGCCGTTGAAGGCCAGCAGCCTTTTATGGATACCAGCTATATTAATTTCAAGTGCTTAAAGGCAAAAATACTGCTTTAACAATATTCAAATTGAGTTCATTTTGTTTTATACTGCTAATGTGTTTTATTACTTTTTGCAATCTGGTAGCCTCCAACACTTAATTTGCTTAGAGATTAATGGGCAGAGTTGTTACATTCTATGATTTTCTACAACTACAATCCTAATTCTTATATCTAGCAATGCAGAGAATATATATATAATGTAATAACTATAATAATTTTGTGTTCTGTTTTGAGGATTTTATAATATACCAGTTTTGAGCAAATTCAAACTTGGGGATTTTTGGATGCCTGATCCATGCCCAGAATTGTGAATATTTCTGTTTTTCCTAAAAAGGGTGTGTGTGTGTGTGTGTGTGTAATTTTGCTTATAATTACTGTATGAAATTAGAACATTATAGCTAAACTTTTTCTGTTCTTTTTAAAATAATAATAATAATTAGCATAGTGTTGTGTATGTTTCTCAGAGTATGTGGAGTCTTTTAGCATTACTTCTTTAGCACTACTTCTAATAGATTAGAAGTAAACCTATTAGAATGCAGCCTGCAATAATACAACATTAGCATGCAGGTTCAGTGAAAATATTCTTCGAAATGTTCAACATGCCTCCTTCAGCATTTCCTTTAAAATCCAAGCGTTTATTTTATTTGAAAACCCTTGTTGAATATTCAGTTTTGAACTTAGAATATTAAGAGCGTGTTGTGGTGCCTTAAGGACCGGAGTGTCCTGTCCAGGATTTGCAGTTCTTTGCCTGGGCTTTCTGGAGCTGACCTTGCCCCGCACAGCCGGTGTGCGCGGACCCACCAAAGCCGGGGCAGGCGGTGGGAGCCTCCCCGGGCCTTCGGCCTCGGCCGCGTGCGGCTGCAGCAGCCGTGCCCGGCTCCGCGGGCCTGGATGGGCAGGGCCTCCAGGGAAACACATCCTGCAGCACGGAGCGCCGAGGATTTGCCTGGAATTCCTTCTCCCCTCCTCCTGCCCTGGGTTTGGTATTTAGGACAGGCTGGATTTAGTGGGAGCGCATGTGAGGGAACAGAAAGGCACAAGGAACGTGCGCTGCGTTCCCGGGCCGTGCGGCGGCCCCGCGGAAGCGCCTGCGTCCTCGCCGCACGCACACCAGCAGGTCCTACAGTGAATTGTTATTCATTCACCAAACCGAATGGCATAGCGCGAGCAAAATTGATTTTGTAAGATGGAATTAGTCTCCTTATGCTTTTAATATTCAGCTTATGTGGCCTGTTGTTAGTGCAGTGTATGGCATTTGCTCCGAAATATATTTGCTGCCGTGGCAAATAATAGCGAGCAGACTTTTGCTTGCAGAGCAAGTACTTCCAGAAGAAAGGCATCTATCTTAAGAACCAGCTAAAGATTTTAGAATTTCACATTTTCACAATGTTTTAGAGTGAGCTTAGCCGTCCAGCACCACTTGAGATGCCGTAGGGTTTGTGAGACCCTTCCCTGGGGCTGCCAGCTATTCACTGGAGGGCAGGAAACTTCCATGCTCCATGAGTCAGTGGAGGTGAGAGCTTTTAGTTGCCCGAGCCTAATAATTGCAGTCATTCAGCTGTGTGTGGTTAGCGTGCAAAAGCCAAGTCTGCCGGATTTCACGTCACTTCATTACGGTAGCGTGGAATCTGGAAGGCATTTTGAGATAAGTCTGTCCATATCATTAAAAACACTTGTCTCCTAGCTGGAACTTGACCTGGCTAAAGGTGAAGCACGACACAAAGAAGCTATCCTTAAAGTCAAGGAAGAAGCGAAAATGGAACTTGAAAATGAAAGACAAAAATACCAAGAAATCATCACAAAATGTCAGAGGGATCAAGAAGAGCTCCAGAAGAAGGTGTGTGACACTCGAGAGAAAATTTGGTGGTGGTAAATAATGCAAACCTTTGAAAAATTTATGAAAATATATATAAAATTCATTAAGCCACATGATATTTTAAAGAGCTGAAAATAACAGTTTAACATAGTTCACTTTGCAGGTCATTTGGTTTATGGTAATTTGACTAGGATTTTAAAACTGCGGAAGTACCAGCTTGTTTTAAAGAAGTTTTTCCATAGATACCACTACTTCTTTGTTTCATCACAGAGGCTCTATTTAATCACTCTTTTCCTTAGTTTTGTTACGTGTAGAGATCCGTGGTATCCTCTGAAGATACCAGGTAAATTCAAAGCGTTTTTTTGTATCTTTAAGGGCCTGTATGTGAGCACTTAGATTTTTCTCATGAAAGTAACATTTGCCTGATAGCTAAGTTTAAATAAAGCAACTAGATATAGATTAATGCAGTATTTGTTGTGCAGATACCTGAATTAATATCCAGTGGCATCAATAACTTAAGGATGGAAGTGGAAATTCTTGAAAAGAAACTGCAGGATGCCCAGGTCAAACTTTCAGAGAAAGATGAAGATAAGGAAAAAGATATTCAGAGTCTTAAGGGACTAATTACTGAGCTTGAATTTCAGCTGAAGATGGAAAAGAACAATAATGAATCATTTTTGGATAATATGAGGAAAGAAATCAAACAGAAGTCAGATGAACTGGAAAAAATAACACAGGAGCGAGCGCAGCTGATCCACAACTTGAGTCAAGTCCAAGAGGAGGTAGGAACATGACTGCAGAAATGCCTTGCTATTTTTACTTAGAAACATCGGATTTCCAAAACTCTTTCAAAGCATATATGCTTGGACCCTGGTACGTACAGTTTAAATGTTCCTTAAAATTAAGTGTTTTGTAAATCAAATCCATGACAATTTCATAAATAGAAAGTATTGCAAAATATGTGAAATTTTTAATTAGGCAATCCTTCCTTTCAGCAAGTTTTTTTTTTTTTTTTTTTTTTTTAAAAGAAGAACCTTTTCAAGGCCTATAAGATATTTCACTTTTAGCCTCTGGCTTCAGATCACATCAAGATACATAAACAAGTATGAACATAAAGGATTCTTGGATTCTTCATATTTTCAAAGTAGAAAACATGGGCAGTTCTTATTCTTAGAATGTGATGGTTCCTCCCCATTATCCTACTTATTTTAGAGGCAATTTGTAAGAAAAACCTGCATACTGTCCCTGTAAGCAAGAATGGACACAGGCCTGGTCTCAAAGGAGGGGCGGCAGAGGTGGCATCTTTCGCTGTGGATCGTGCCGTGCACTTGTGGGTCTGTCCTGCCTCCCACATAATCCTGCAGGGATTACAAAATCCGTGTTTTGTAAAGCAGGAATGCGTGAAAAGGAAAGAATCGAGTGTGAAGAGAAATTGGGCTGCTGGAGAGGTTTACTATAGCCATTGCGGAATGTTTGGAAAATAGCAGGAGGGAGGAGGAAGAGCCGTACTGCTCTGAGAAATGTGAGAGCAGTTGAATCAGTGACCATAGATAAGATTAGACTGGAATTTCCAAAGTAATTAGTACCAGGAAAAATTGGTAAACAATTGAAGCGAAACTCCGAAATTAATGAGGCCTTGGACTGCTGTTTATTTTTGCTGTGAAAAGGTTCAGAATGGTGGTGGCAGTGAAATTAGCAGGCTGTTGGCAGGCTCTCTGTCGTGTAATTACAGAAAAGAGCCTCAGAAAGACAGGCCGCCCTCAGGCGCTGATAAGGAGCTTCAGTAGGGAAAGGACCCCGCGTTGTCCTTGGTCATGAGTTCCTCTAGCTCTTCATATGGTTTTGTTTCCCTCTCTCACACTTTTAAGTATAGTTCTTTCTCTAATAGGATTATATTAGGAAATGGTCAGATAAAAGTGCTTGAAAAAATGAAACCAATTTCATAACATGAAATGGTGGTTTGTCACATTACTAGCAATAATTCTGAACAGGAGCAGTGACGTGTCCCTCAGTGGAGGGACCTGGGGCTCCGTGCGTGTCCCCTGCGTGCCACCCTCTGGTGATGCAGCCTTGGGGGCGCACACGTGGCTCCCGCTCTCCCAGCTCAAAATACCCTGACTTCCTGGATTACTCTTATCTTATCGTAAAATCCCCTGAACTAGTTATTTTTTACCCCCTGGGAAAAACTAAAAACACACAGAGAAAACGAGTGCTACAACGCAAGACCCAAGGCACGTACAGAAAAGTTCCTGGAGCTGATTATGTGTCCGTGCTGTGCATGGAGGTGTTGCTGAAGGATCTGTCTCTGGGTTAATTGGTGTCCTCGCGCCCTCAGTGCGTTACCAGTACCCCTGTGCACGAGGAGCTGCTGCCCACGAGCTGCTCTGCTCTCTGAGCTGGTCCAATGCCATGCATTGGGCACCCTTCCTGCCATGGCTTTGTCCCGTGTTGGAGAACGTGCATACCAATCAAACCAGTGACAGACATTTGGCAGATGTATTTTATGAAAGCTTAAATTTTACCTGTATTTTTTTATTATGAACAGCCTGCACTTGAGGGTTTTGTTCCTGGTAGCATGACTATATATATATTTTTTTTATCCTATATTAGGCATGTAAGCACTGTAAGTTTATTTCATATACATAGACACCACTGGAAGCATCCACCCCTATATGTTAAACTGTTTTTCCTTTCCAAGAATGGAAGAGTGTTGGAATGGAAGAATTTTCCTGTTCAGTCTTTCCTTTCCAAGAATGGGATTCCCTGCCTTCCCCCTAGGTAGAAGATGGGACAGGAGATGTGGAGTAGCTTCTGATCGGCTGCCTCATGTCTTCACCCTCTTCTGAGAGGGTGGCGGGTGCGCACAGCCTGAGACGTGTCCTTTGAGCAACGCTCGGAGAGCACTAAGGGCTCTGTGCACGTCGGCTCGCGTGGCTTTGGAACAAGCTCCGTGTCCCCCCGGCCCTGGGCTGCAGGCTGTGCCGGGCACGCTCTGGCGGAGAGCGTTTCATGACACGAGTGTTTGTTTCTGTTTGCAGAACACTCTCCTCCAGGAAACGGTGCGCAGAGAGTGTGAGGAACGCTACGAGCTCACTGGCGCTTTGACTCAAGCCAGGGAACAAGTCCTGGAACTAAAGAAGCTCAGCGGCAACTTCCCGTTATCAGCGTGTTCCCTCGCGCAGGGCAGCCTAACCTCCTGCGCTGCCCTGGTCGATAGTTACGGGCAGAAGAGCCGCACTAGCCCCAGCTCGGGGAAGCCAGGGCAGTTTGGGGTCTCCAGAGCCCCTAAGGCTCCCGTGCCCGGGCAGCGCAACGGCACCGTGGCGCTGCCGCTCCTGACGCCACCGGCAAGAGGGAAGGCGTCCTCGCTGAACGAGTCCAGGAGCAGAATCGCTGCCGTTATTAGAAGACAACTGAGTCAGCTGTGAGAGCCGTAAACGCCAGCGAACGCGCTGGCGTGAGCTGCGCACAGCAGAGTCATTTCCCTGCATTCAGTGACCGTTCACTTGGGCACCTCCGAGCCACGTCTCACCAAATGCAATGCGGGCATTTCTGCAACTTAAGTTATATTTGTGCATCTGTGTACTGCTGATGCGATAATGTTTCTTTATCCGTTGCATATCAATGTAATTAAATGGCATCTGCAGTTCGAGATAAGTAGAAAAGTATTACTGCTCCAGGAGGAGCACATCTTTGAAAGGATACTTAAAATAATTGCCAATTTCAGCTATTATTTTCCCTTAACCGCTTTACTGTGATTTTTCTATTTCAAGTGCTGGCCAGTGTAATTCCACTGCTTGTTTCTGATGTGAAAATATGATATATTTGGTTAGCATCAGATTTTTGCTGTTGTTTAATTGAGTGGCATCATGTTTGCAGCTAGTTATGCTTAGACCAAAGAGTTTAACTAGTCATGGACTAATATATCACTCTCCTAGCACTAACAAGTAGGTTAAATGCTGTTCAGGGACATATATTCCCTGCCACCTTGGGACATGCCTTCAAGCCACGGTGATGATCAAGGAGTTGAAGACTTCATAGTTTGTCCCCAAGAAGGTTTTCTCTCGCAATGTGACGTGTGAGGGTCTTTGCACAAAGCTTGGAAGCTGCCGTTTGCAGGGAGTTGTTACACAAGAGAATCAGGATTTTATTTTACCTTTTGAAAGATGGAACCATGGTTTGTTTTGGAACATAAAAACCCCAAACAAGTCCCAGGCATCTTTGATGGAGTGCAAACAGTGCGGACAGAAAATGAGCCTAGAAATAGCAGCTCTTCTAGCAAGCCAGCTCTGCCTTTGGAAGTGGAGGTGGTGCAGCCCAGCAGCCAGCACAAGGCAGCGTTGCTCGAGCAAGGCCTGGGGCTTGGGCACGAGCTCGGGAGGAGGTCCCAGGCAAGGCTCTCGGGGTGTTAAGGCCCATGGGTGAGAACAGGCCCTGGGAGATGCTTCCTCAGTGGCCTCCTCATGGTCTCCAGAAAGTCCCAGCTATGATTTCCATTAAAATGTCGTGGATTAAAATGTCACGGGAGGTAAATTAAAGGAGGAAGTGTTGGAGGTGCTCGCAGGGTGTGTAGTAACAGCCAGCTGCCTGGGCTTGAGTGTTCCTCTTGGGGCTGGGACCTGGCCCAGGGTAGGCTCGGCGCCCGGCTGCGCTGCGGTCACACCGTGAGCCTCGACCTTCTCCGGGTGTCTGCGTGGCGGGGTGGCTCTGCGGGGGCAGGACGAGAGCAGCGGCCCGGCAGTGCCCCGTGCTGCTGGGCTCGGGCAGGAGCGTGAGAGCGAGCCTTGCTGGGCCAGGCCGGGCGAAATGGGAGCTCCCCGCAGAGCCAGGGGAAGGCTGGCCGCTCCGCTCTAGCAGCCAGAGCCCTGTTTTACAGCACGCTCAGCCTGCTCGGCTTCTGCTCCCATTGCTCTTCTGCGCCATTCTCCCATTCCTTTCTCCCATATTCCTGCCATTTCTTCCTCCGTATTCTCGCATTCTGCTCCCATCAGTAGCCTCTAACTAATGCTGGTGGTAGCAGAGTTTATCCTGCAGTTAGAGCTTGAAAATCCGCCTCTGGGCTTTGCTAAATGGGAAGCCCGAGAGTTGCTATGGGTTAGGCCAGCTTGCCCTTCCCAAGGCCAAGAGCCTCAACCTCCTTCTGCATTCAGGTGTATCCTGCTGTGCTCTGTATCCCGCTGTGCTCTGTCTTCCGTACACTCGGGGGAAGCTTCTCTAGTTGTACTCAAGTGGGGTTGTTTGCGAAAACTGTTGGCCAGTGTCAGCACCGAGCCCGGTTAATCATGTTTTTCTGAAGGGTGCTGAAAGGTGGAATTTTCAAAGAAGTTGGGAAGATGGTTCCACTGAAGCCCAACACTAGTGGAAATCTGTTCTTCAGCAATTTCACAAATGCCCAGAGGAGGGGGATGCACAGAACTCCCCAAAACCTGCTTCAAGGGCAGCCAGTCTCCTTCTGTACTTGGTGATAATACTGTTTTTCTTTGTTTAGGGAGGATCCTAGCTTCTTCGAGCTTGAAAATTGTTATTCCATCCCCACCTGCACTCTTCATGTGGCAAAGTTAGAGATGCTCATTAAGGCAGTTCTTAAAGTGGTGAGTTCCAGATCTCTATTATGTAGATTCTTAAATAAAATTCATAGATGAACATCAATTATATTTCACAGTCTTTCTTACAAGAATTCCTAAATCATGTAAATACAGTAAAGGCTATTACATTATTTTACTGATTGGTGTGGCTATGGCATAGATACTGTGATGAAACCCGTGGTAGTTGTCATATTTCTGAAGTTTAACGTTTGAATCTGCATATTGAAACAAAGGTTGGAGGTTTTTACCTGCTCCACTGACTGGAAATCACCACTGTGCAGCAAAGTCTCTGCACTTAGAGAGAGCACAGCTTTGGACAGCACCCCATCCGGATGTGATTCCGAGCCCTGTCCTAGCTGATCCCTAATTCCGGGTTACAGCAGCCGGTGCTGCTGGAGCAGAGCACGGGGCCCATTCCAAGGCTGGGGTCCTGCCAACTGTCTCAAGGTTTATTTACTGTAGTGCCAGCAGATACAACGAATGGCTGTATAGTCATAAATTATATAAATTATAAAGAGAGGGATAGCCAGATAGAATAGTGAGAGCGGTCGCAGGAGCAATGTTTCTAGCAGGAGGGAGCATATAAATCATGGAGCAAGCAAGTTAAGAGCAGCATTTCCCTTAGTTCCCCTCCTCCCAGGAACCCTGAGCTCCTGCTGGTAGGCAATAAACTAACCATATTAACGTCTCTGGCAGCAGTGATGAGCTTCCAAAAAGAATTATATTAATTTCACATAAGGCGGCAAGCTTTGCAGGGCATTTCTTGTAATGGGCTGAGTAGGAGAGAGCACCACTGAGGGTATAGGCAGCCCCATAGCAGCACATCTGCTGGAAATGCAACTTACTGGGGACCATGTGTCCCTTGGGAGCAATGTCACTTATCAGCGGGATGTTCTTAGGCTGGACCTTGGATTCTGGGACTCATGGCACAAGGAGGCATGATAAAAACACCATGCTTAAAACACCTGTGTGTTGTTCCTGCCCAGTGCATGGTTTCGGGCACCCTCCTCGACGGAGCTTGGATGTTGCCTGATCTAGCATAGTCCTTTGCATAGGCCCAAATCTTTCCAGGAGGAATTAAGCCCTCTGTTAGACTACCTGTTCGCACAGTAGGATATCTAATGCGCTATTTCATACACTGTGTTATTGCCAAATGCATCCACTTATTTTTATAGAATAGTAGCCTTAAATTCCAAAGAAGTGTCAAATATTTAGTGCCTGTTTATATATTTGCTATATTTAAATAAGTAAAAAGTGCTCCCTGTTAACTGAAGGAAGACTACCCTGAATAGCCAAAAGTGTGGAAGTGTGAAGCAAACGTTAGGAGCAAAGAGCAGCCCCTCCATCCGAGCTGGGAAGGGAACCGTAGCTGGGCTCTCTCGCCGTGGGGACGTTTCCTTTCCAGGCAAAAATCCCATGTCTTCATTTTTAATTGTTTTAAAAGGGGACTTGTTTACCTAGTGAAAATCCGATGATAGGTTTTGTCTTTGTTTGTTGCAAGCAGTTAAGTTTATTCTACTGTAGAAAGAATAAACTCCATCTGTAACTGGAATGGCAAAGAATGTTATAAACAAATATGCTTAGTATTTATGTTATTTTCCTACCTTGAATGCGTAGCACAAGATTAATATGGGTAGGATAATAAAAAAGATTTACGTTGAAGAGATTTTAACTCTGGAATTGTAATTTGTGTGGTAGAATATCTGAGCATCTGGCATTGCACCGTGAACTGTTCCCAGATAATGCAAAACTTCTTTGGAGCGAGCAGGGACAGTTCCCGGCTCAGAGCTCAAAGGACGCCCTCCTATCTCCCGAAATAAATGCGTGACAGATGTTCCGTGGCGGCGTTTTTCCGGATGGAGCCTTGAATTCCCGGGGAATCCAGGTCAGTGCCGGGGTGGGCCGGGCCGCAGGGGTGACTGCAGTGGGGTCACGGCGCCTCCGCCTCTCGCTGAGCGAGGCTTTGAATGGCCTTGCAGGGTGCTCTCTGTCCTGCACACACCGCCCTTTTTGGCTGTGTTTAATCTGGTTCTGCACACTTCTAGAAGTTAATTCAGTGGAGGCGCTGTCCTGCTGTGTGCGTCACAGCGCTGGGGACGAAGGGAGCAGTCCGGAGCTGGCGGCCGGTGCCACCGGCCTCGTGCCGCGCTGGTGCCCGCGCTCCGTCCTGCTGCCTGCAGCGCAGCACAGATTTTTATCTCTGAAAAATCAATCGATCTCCAGATGTCAGGAGTCCGAGCGATGGCACGGAGCCATTTCAGCCTGTCAAAACCAGTTTTTGCTAGTTGACTAAATGCACAGATTTGCGGGAAAGGGTTTGTTGAGGTGGAGCCTCCTGTTTCCAAAAAGATGTTGAAAAATTTTCACATTGCCAGAATAATCCCTTTTGATGGTACTGAATGTACAAATTCTGCTTTTTGCGTGCTTGTTTGTTTTCCCTGTGGAAGAAAATGCAGAATTCAGTTAACAAGTGCATTGTAATGATAGGTCAGAGGGAAGAGCCATGGCCACTGTTGCCTTGGAGCATCCCGGCGTTCCCGCAGCGACGCGGAGCGGCCCGGCCTGCTGCTGGAAGCGCTTCAAAGCCTGCAGTGAATTCCCTGATGTCAAAGGTAAAGAGCGGCGCCATATAAATACCAGGGCAATCACGGCACCCGCAGCGGCCGTGTAAAAGGTCTCTAATGATGTAAACAACTTGTGGCCAAAGTGCAGGAGAGGGGAATTAGGCACAGAGGTCGGAGAGCGCGGCCGGTTTGGAGAGGGGCCTTGGGGCTGCATGGGAGGCAGCCGGCTGCAGTGCACAGCCGAGCACACAGACACCTCCAGCCCCGCTCCTCTCCTGCCATCCAGGAAAACCAGGGCAAGAACAAGCCAGGGACTCCAGGCAGTATGACTGTGTGTGCCACATGCAGCAGGGCAGAGCAGGGCCGGGCTGAAATGCTGTGTCAGGCAGCAGCGACTGCCCGAGGAGCAGCCTACACCTCACATGCAAAGCATGAGCCCTTGCAGCCTCAGTTCCTTATGCTGGCTGCCTGTCTCGTACCTGGCAGCTCTGCTGCGTGATCAGCCCAGCACTTTGCAGTAGAGCTAGGGCGTCTCAGTTCCCCCTTTTCACATGCAGAAGTAGCTAAATCTGTCCTTCTCCTTCCGAGCCGACCCGGGCCACCTGCTGTGAGAGCTGGAGCCAGGGGAGAGAAGAGCAAACAGAGGCGAAGGAGCGGGGCGGCCCCTGCTTCCCTTTTAGCTGTTCTCACAGCTTTTGTTTATAGCTGCAAATAAACTGGGATTGGCTGGGAAGTGCTGGACTCTGTGGCTGTGTCAGGCATTCGCTCCTGAAAAGTGAAGGAAATTGTTAAGTCCTTTATGGAACAGATGATAAGGAAAAAGAGGAGCCGCCATGCAAAGCAGGAGTCGGGCAGTGCTGGTGAGCACTGGGAGGCAGCAAAAGAGAGCCAGGAATGGGTTTGTCTGGCAAGGAAGGCTATGAGGAACATCATCCTCACCCCTCATGCTCCTGGGTTCCATCAGCTCCCAGGGCTTGTGAGCAGCAGCCTGCCGTAGCAGATGAGCAGGAGCTGCAGGTCCGGCTGCAGCCCCTTCCTGAGCCAGAGCCGCAGCTCCCTCTGCTTGTAGCCGGGCCCTCGAAGGGCGAGGAGAGGTGGCTTTGCTGCTGAAAACTGCTTGGCGGGTTCAAGCAGATAAATCCTTCCCTCTGCTTTTGTTTCCTGCCCTAGAAAGCAGTGCCTCTATATGCTTTTTATAACAAAACTGAAATGGACCAAGAACGAGTTCAGTCCCTCATCCTGAGCGCAGCAGCCTGCGAGGGGCTGTAGGAGACGTGTCCTTATGTGTGGAAGTCACCCATGCTCCCGAAACAAACCCTTGTCTGGTGTCTGTGAGCTGTGCCTGGCACGGGAGCTGTCTGGGACGCTGCAGAGCTCTTGGCCACGCCGCGTTCCCTGGGATGCAGGGCTGCGTTTCCCGCCGTGTCCTGGGGCTGCCTGTGCCGCAGGATCTCCCCCAGCACCGGCAGCCATCAGGGCTCGAGAGTGCTGCTGCTTCCAGCAGCGTGAGGCAGCGCAAACAGGTCGCTTCCCAAACCTGTGCCCTTTTGCTGCTCTCCCCTGCAGTCCAGCTTAAGCCACCTGCATCCGGGGCCAGATCTCTCTCTCTCTCTCTCTCACACCCCCCTCTCACACCTTCCATATCTGCTGCAGCTCCTCTGTGCATGCAGCGGGTGTGTGTGCTCGGCTGTGTGTGCACTGACTGTGCACGTGCTCGGCTGTGCATGCAGCAGGTGTGCGTGTGCTCGGCTGTGCATGCGCCAGGGCCGTGCATGTGCTCGGCTGTGTGTGCACCAGGGCCGTGCCTGTGCTCGGCTGTGTGTGCACCAGGGCCGTGCATGTGCTCGGCTGTGCGTGCACCAGGGCCGTGCCTGTGCTCGGCTGTGCGTGCACCAGGGCTGTGCCTGTGCGCGACTGTGCGTGCGCCGGCTGTGCGTGCAGCAGGGGTGCGCGTCAGGCGGTGCGTGCGTGCAGCAGGCAGTGCGTGTGCGTGCTTGCCGGCACGGGCCCCGCGGCCGCTCGGCAACACTTCCACCTAGAGCGCGGGGGCCGAACGGCAGGCGGGCGAGCGGGCGAGCGGCGGCTCCTGCTGCAGCCCGCTCTGCAGCAGCACCAGCAGCAGCTCCCTTCCTGTGGCCCAGCAGCGGTCCGTGCCCCGTGTGCGGGGCTGCCTTAATGGGTCCCTGCAGCTCGAGGCCCTTGGCACTCTGAGCCTGCGGCAGCCAGAGCAAGTGGGGACTCAGGGAACCTCCCATTGAGGGTGCCAGGAGTGCCGGGCAGCGCCTGGGAGCCTCCTGGCCCTTCACACACATGGAGGAAGAGGAGGGCGCGGGAAGGGCACAGCCAGGGGCCAGCAGGCCCTGCAAACCACAGGTGAAATGATTAACCACAGCGGCTGCTCCAAATCCCGAGCAGGAAGAGGAGCACGACAGGGCAGCCATGCAGCAGTGCCCTCCGGCAGGACACCTGCTTTCTGGTGGTGGTTTCCTGGGATCCAGTGGACGCTGGTGCTGAGCACGGCCCCGGGGCTGCCGGGTTTCCCTGGCGCGGCGGGCGCTGCGGACACGGACACGGCAGCCCGGGGCAGCGGGGACACCCCTGGTGCAGGGGCTCCCGGCTCCCTCCCGCTCTCCTGCCGCTTCCCGTGCAGCCGAGGGCGCTGGGGGCGCAGGGCCCGCGGAGGCCCCGCCGGCCCGAGGGAGCTCCTGAGAGCAGATGGTGTCTAGACAGGCGGCGGCGGCAGCTGCTCCCGCTTCCCGGGGAAGCCCCGTGCTCCGGAGCAGCGTGAGGGGAAGGGGGAGTTGGTGCCGGTGCGGAGCCCGCAGCCCTCCCGTTCACCCCCCTGCACAACCGCTCGTGTTGGGGGCAGCTCGAGCTGCTCACAGAGTGCGAGCCGCCGGTGCGGCAGCCTCCGAGGCAGCACCGGGCTCTGCCCCGGCCTTTGCAGGAGGTACCTCCCACAGGGACCCGTCAAACGGAGCTCGCAGGAGCAGCGGCGCTTGACTGTGTCCGGGTTGCAGCACGTCATGAACCTGGACTCTGGACCACGTTTATCTCCTTCCCCTTTTTTTGGGCAAAGAGAAAGCAGGACTTCCTTCATGGAGCACAGGGGCCAGGCCCAGGTCAGGCCACACTCAGGGTTTCCCCTCTGCCCCCTGCTCGCTCTGTCCAACTCCTGCTGGGAAGCGCAGCCAGCCCAGAGCCACAGGGACTGCCCCGGCTCCAGCACTGGACTCCACCTTTGTTCTCCCCCCTCCACCCCCACTTATAACTGCTGCCCAAGTCACTGCTCTGGAGCTGCAGCTTAAGGCAGGTGGCCCACCTAGTGCAGGGGCCTGGAGGAGCAGCACAGCCCCAACAACAGCAAGGGCAAGTCAAAGCCTTGCAAAAGCTGACCTTGAAAGGGCAGTATATGTTAAAAAAAAAAAGCCTTATATTTTATTTCTTGTAAAAATCTTTTAACACATGCAGACTAAAACCAGTGTAAGAAAGTATCCACCATTGTTTAAACAAATAACTATACTTAAATATAAGTGTCTGCAATTGGCTTGTATAAAAATAAGATACGCTTTGCTCTTTACAGAAACCCATTCTCCAGTTCTCATAAACAATACACAACTCTAATACATAGAATTTAACCTGATCATTGTTTTCCATCAATTTGATACTGCTAAGGTATTATGTGCAAAAGTTGGTAACAGTTTTTTTCCCCTCCCAAAAAAGAAAACAAGTGTTCTACACATTTTAGAAAATTAGATATTGGGCTTTAAAGGACTCCGCTGCTCCTGGTTTCCTGTGTCCATAGGAGCCGGTTGCTGCGCGCTGTCGAGGCCGGGCGGGGGGCTCAGCGGCGCCGGCGGCCGTGGCCCGAGCGGCCACCGTGGTGCTTGCCCTTGTGCGGCCGCTCGAAGGAGCGCGAGCGCTCACGCCGCTCCCGGTGGTGCCCGCGCTCGTGCCGGTGCTTCTTGGCCACGTCCGAGTGCTCCCGGGACTTGCTCTGCGAGCGGGAGCGCGACTTTTTCCTCTTGTGAGCGTGGCGGTTGGCGCTCTTGAGCTCGTCGCGGCCGTGCTTGGCCTTGGCGTGCGGCGAGCCGTGGTTGTGGTGGCGGCGCGGGCTGCCGCTGGCGCTGCGCGAGCGGCTGCGCGAGCGCGAGCTGTAGGTGCCCGACAGGCTCCGGCGGTTGTTGTAGCTGGCAGGGAACAGGCACAGCGTTAGTGCGGGCGGAAAAGGCAAGGGCTGCTTTTTTCCTATTTAGGAAATCTTCCAAGTTTACTGGAAGGAATCATGAGACACTTTCTCCCAAGGGGAGATTTATGATAAATGCTACTGACATTCCCAGAACATGCCTTTCTGGGATGAGGTCCCCTAAAAAAAGAAAACAAGGCCAAAATCTACCCCCAAACCAGAGCCATTTTTCCTTCTACCTGTTTAAGAGCCTCTCCCTCAACATCAGCCTAGAAACTGGACACTGCCTTTTCCCTTCCGTCATTTAAGTCCACTACCTAATACCTAGTCTAATACGTAGAACATACTGAGAGCCAAGGTGGCAGTTCCCACCTAGAATTTGAGAGGATTCTTCGGAAATGATACCAAAACTGTCATGTGTCACCTACTCGCTGGCAGTTCCCCATCTCCGCTCTGGATGTAGTGAGAGAAAGCACCAGAGAGTCAGGGTGCTTCGTGCCACCCCAGCTGCCCCAACAGGACACCCTTCTCCCACACACCTGGGAGAAAGCAGCAACGTAAGAATTTGCTTCTTCTAGAGGCTTCACTGCTGCTTTGAGGACTGAATTTCTCATTTACAACCCAGACCCATGGAAACTGTTGGAAGGGTTGCAACCACCTTGGCTCACTCGCTGCCCCACAAGGTCACCGTGACAAGCTGAAGCTTCCTCTTAGCCACAGGTCGCTGCCCTGGGGCACTGCAGCCCCCACTGCGACTGCAGGGCTGCGCAGTGCCCGGCACGGGTGCTGCGTGACGGGGGGCTCCCGCTCTTGCTGGCCAGCAAGGGCCCAGGAGGGCACAGGGAACACGGGGCCATCACACTTCTCCAACATGAAAAGAGCTCTTGAAACATCCCAGAGAGATGACTGGGATCAGAAGCAAACAAAAAAGCACTTACTGCCTCCTAGGAGTGTGGGATCGAGACCTTGACTTTGTTCTTGACCTAGATCGACTAGCACTTCTGCTGCTCCTACTTCTCTTGCTTTCTTTTCTCATGCTTAGAGGGAAGAAAAAAGACAAACCAAAAGAGGGTTACACTTGTGTTACCTTATGAAAAGAGCAAGTACTTGACTGCTTTGCAGTTGAGAATTTTTTAAGCCCAGAAGTCTATTGGTCTGAGATTTGTACTCACCCGTTGTAAGGGCTCTTGGCAGCTTGCTGCCTTTCCTCGGGCTCTTTTTTAATGGTCTTGGTATTCAGAGACACTGGACTCTTCTCTTCGGTCTTTATTTCTCTTGGGGAAGCTAAGATTCAAGGAATACAGAGTCAGGCAGCTATCTCACAGGTGCTGCCACAAACCTGTTGTATTATTTGTGTACCTTTATGAGTACCTGCATAAAACACAACTGCTACTACTGCATCCCATCTTTACATTTACAGGAAACTTCTGCAAAATAATTTGGGAGCGCTCACTGACTGGGCAGATACCGATATATTCGGAGTACTGAAACCTATTTGTGTTCACCATCTTTTACTTATGAATATACTGAAGAATTGAAAAGAACAAGAGATCTTTCTCATCTAGTAGGAACAATAGATTATTTCACCCATCTTCTGTATCTACACCACTCTTCAAATTTGGAGGAGGTTGGGAAGGACATTGGGTCTTACTGCTTGCCTTGCAGATTGCTTTTTGGACCCCAGTAGACGAAGTCTCAAGTGCCACGATATAAAAATCCAGGTTTATGACCCCACAACTACACAGCTTGTTACCTTGACTATTCATTTCCAATATGATACAGAGAACTGGGACTGAAAAGCAATTACAGATGTCTAGATTAAAGCGCACACAAATAATGAACCATCTAGTCCACAGTGTACAAGACGACCCAAGGAAAGGCATCAAGTAGGCAAAAGCCTCGTAGCCGGAAGGCCGTGGCCTGTTACACCACCAGGTGCCTCACAAAGTGCCCCCATGGCACAGCCGCCACCCAAGAACCACGCATGCGCCTGGCCTGCGGACAGGACGGGAAGACCCAACTGCTGCCTTGGGACCTCCCCCGCAGCTTCTCCATTTAACAGGGCTCAGAGGTTTTAAGTAAGAACACACAAAGTCAACTTTTTGTCAGCTTTCCCTCAGTCTGTGAGCTAAGAGACCTTCCAAAACCCCTCCTGCTTCCACAGGTCCTGTTTCCCCTTGCTCTTCTACATAAGGTCCCCCTTCCAGGGAGGGGAAGGGCATGAAAGCGCTTCATCCCTTAGCGAGACCTTTGCACGGGCCGCTTTGAAGGCCTCTGAGGTTCAGACACGTTGCTGCCCCGTAGGAGTGACTACAAACACACGCAGCTCTCGAATCGCTGCAGAGGCCGCCCCAGAAGCGGGTGCCTGTGCCTTGGTTACGCACTACCACAGGCGCAGAGCTCCGGCCCTGCTGTGTCTGCTGCTCCTTCACACATGAGAGTGTCAAGTGCCAAGGCAAAACTGCCTCCCTCGGATCACGGAAGTTGGGACAGCTTCGCTGAGTGACCTAGCACAGAAGCTGCAGTGATTTGTCTGCTGTGAAGCAGAACCTGCCCTGTGCGAGATGCTCCTTCTCCAGGTACTGAGCAGAGCACCCACCCCTGCCTACACCCTTCCAGGGAAGTTTTCAGAAACTCCTATGATAAAAAAAATCAGAGCCAACTGTAACACCTACCCCAAGCCAGTAAGTCTCTTCATAACACAGTCATTTCCAGTGTTACTAAGAGAGACATTACTTGTATAATTCCTTACCAGAATTACTTTATGAAAAAGCCTGAAGCTTCTACACTGTTCCTCTCCTTTGTTAATTCAAGCTATCAATAAATGGTTTGTAAAATTAGTGTTTAAAACAGTAAGGCTTATCTTGCCTCCTAGTTCAAGAAAGCTAAGCCAACAATTCAAGTAGACTGACTTTTCTGAAGTACATTCAAAGGGAGTATTCAAAACATCCCCCAAAATTGGGTGCAAGTTTCCATACAGAGAACAAACTTACATGGTTTGGATGAAGGAGAAAAGCCACCCAGTGTTGAGAGTGCTGGAGTTCCATCAGGATTTAAGCCTTTTGCCTTCAGTTTTGCTTCTTGTAGTGCCATTTTTCTCTTTTCTACTTCTTTATCCAGGAAATCGTAATTGGGCTGTAAAAAAAAAAGTAAGAATTTGAACTAATGCAATTCACACTCATTTCTCAAAATCATTCAAGCTCTTTTTAATCATGTCTACCTTGCCATTTATTCTCTCACCGATTCCCTAGAGGGAAGCACGCATGCAGCAGAGCCCTTTGGAGCAGTAAATCCATACGCTGTTATTCCCAAACAGGGAGAAAGCTAAAGGGCAGCTCAAGCTGGACCGAGCAGTGAACTGAGCAAACAGCACCTCTGAAGTTACCTTCTTTCTCGTGTAGAGCTTCAGAGTCGTTAAGCAGATCTCCTGGATCTCTTCCTCTGTGGTACCAAAGAGCGAGAACCAGTGCGGGCGGGTAGGCAGTGGAATCTGAAAATAAAACTAGTTCTTAATACTAATATGGACAAGACTCACTTTAAATATTTCCACTAACATTATCTGGAAACCATCTAGCAACAAAAATCAACACTAAAATATTAAAGATAAGCAAATACCTACCTGCAGGGCTCTAGCAGCAAGGTAAATGCAAGCACATGCTATAGTCTCTGGCTGAAAACGAACAAATACGTTTGTTCGAAGGCTGTCGTTCATGTAATTCCTAAAATAAAAAGTTCATAAGAGGTTGGATCTCGTGTTTTATCTTTTTAATTTAGGGGGTAATACTGGAGACTCAATTGACTTTATTATTTTTTCTTTTAATATAATAAAAATATGGTTTCTTTAGAACTACTATATTTGATGTTTACACTTGTTACTCCTGTAACAAGGCATGCACCACTGCCACTGCTGGAAATCCCAATGCAAGTAACAGCCTTTAGTATTTTCTTCCCAGGTACATTAATTATGCCATGAAGTGTCCATTGAACTAACAATTTAACAAATACTTTGTATCTGTCCAGCTCTTTGGTTATTTCAAAATAAGTAACTTTAAAATTAAAATTAAGCATGTAAGCATAGTATGTTTATAACCTACCATTTTCCAGAGGCTGGATACAGCCTACAAAATTCACAGAACATTGCATTTAAACCCTATTTGTGTCTTGAGTGACATTAACTTCATCCAGCAAGAGAAGCATCCAATTTTCTTGTTGAGCTTAAACCTTCATGTTGAAAAAAAGTTCTACAGGTTAGCAGCCAACCTCCTACTTCACTAGGATATTTCTCCTCCGGCACGATGGCCTCGCCAAGCAATTTATGCCAAGATCTGCATTTAAACAGCAGAGACTCCCGTGATTTCTAAGTTCCTGAGCTACAGGAAAGAAACAAACAGCAGTCATTAAGTATTGATTAAACAGGAAACAGTGCCCAGAATAGCTTCTAAGTGAACATGCTGCATGCACTGTAATCTTTTTTAAACTCGAGTTTAACACGTTTAAGTCAACTAGATTCATGTTCTCATAGTCTACCAAACGTGTCCATGTGCCCTTTAAATACACTACAGCATACAGTAGCTAGGCAACAAATACATTTAGAAACATTTTGAACAGTTACTTCTAAAAGCAAATATACAAATCCTTTTGACACCCAGACAGAACTAGAAGATGCTGCCCGCTGGCCATGGACCACTTCAGTGAATCTCGGATGAGAGCTTGCACTGGGATGGCTGGAGAGAAGGGCAGCCAAACAGGCCGTCCCCAGGTCATGGGCTGAGGTGCAGAGGGCAGAGCTCTATGACTTACCATCAGGGACTACCCTTTAATCAAAGAGTAGAAAAAAGAACAAAGTTAAATTGAGTTCTCCAAGAAAAGAGTGGAATCAAGCCATGAAAATAGTAAGCAGAAACAAGCACCAGCGCACGTTAAAAATGTATATGTTTATAGAGTGACTTACAGCTCATTGCTTTGCATATGGATCATCAGGCTTGTTATTTCTGCTACTATTTTCCTGGCTAGGAAAAGAATAGAAAATAACTTACCAGGCTGTCTGTACCAGGGTTTGATTACGTTCACATTCTAAGACTTGTAAATACATAACAATGATCTGGGGGGGCAAGGAAAAAGAGACTCAGTTTTAACACAGAAATCAACAGCAGTAAAGTAACTGTTTATAAACAAGCAGTTTTCTGCAAACAGTGGTCTCCTCTGTTTTCCAAGCATATATTGAAAGCCCATGGCATCCAATCGGGCTCAGAAAGCGCTGTTTACTATTATATAACTCAGAAAAAAACATCATTTTACAATGCATTTCACAAGGAAGCATTTTCTATCCAAGTCAATAGGGCTAGTTGCCCATGCACTTTGGCAAAAGCCTTCTTAAGAATATTAAGAAATAGAGGAGGAAACCAAGTCATTTTAAACGTGTATTTCTTGTCCCACATGTCACCACGATGACAGCAAGGCAGAGTAACAGATTATTATTTTTTGAAAACTCACCTTATGCGGATGCTTGACATGAACACAAAATCCCAACTCCTTCAGTACCCTCCTTTCTGCTTTGATTACTTGATTTTTGGTGTTTATGTAGTTCTGATCAAGTATCAAGGGGCTTGGAGTCCTACAGTTTGCAAGAAATAAAATCAAAACTGTTTTGCATATCCAAAATAGCATCAACTCTGTTTTCCCTTCCAACCAACTAATGGCAACAGAAACCGGTTTTCAACTCCTGCAAGCAAGTTTAAGCATTAATCTTGTGCTGTCCAAGTTTACCTAAGCTAGTTATGTCTCTGCATTTAACTAACTGCAGATGAAATGCACAATAACCTTCTCCTACCGTGTATGCAAACTACACCTACCAAGCTGCAGAACAAAAGGGAAGGCTGCAGCAGAGATCTTCAAGTACCTCCACACTCGATGATGGGGGCAAGGCAGGTGACAGTTACCTCTGCTAGTCAGTACTCCAGAGCAAGGCCAAGCCACAGGAGCTTTGTCACAGTTTAAAGCACAAACTTCCTGCTTTACATTACATACTGCAGTTTCCTATACGCCAAAAGACAAGATGGAGATCTGGAACCAGAACAAGACAGATCTGCTACTATGATATACAAAAAACCACCTAATAAATCAAGAATTGTGTGTGCTGTGCCAGATCTGTTCCTCTGGTTCTGAACACCAACATGGCACCCACTGATATCGTGTCCACTTCTGTTGCTTAGAACATTTGCAAAACAGGTCATTTCACATGAAGTGTCTCAAGTCCAACATTACCAAGTAAACTCTTGATTATTTCAAAAACATACGCCTGAAATATCAAAAAAAGCTTAACCAGGAGAATGGAAGAATGTACAGTTTGTGCACAAGTTTTCTTTTAAAAAACTGATTTCAGCTTCACTTTCATCCTTCCATATGCTGCATCTTAATCCCTACCAAGAAGGGAAGGGCAGAGAGCAGCCTTTCCTTACTGTTATCATGTTTCCCATATTTGTGTATGTTCTTCACACACAGTATTTTCCAGGAGAGTACTTTTAGCAGCTACTTACACTCTAATAAGCTACTACAGGCTGCTTGCACTATAAGCCTAGTGCACCATAAGCACCGGCAACAAGTTTTATATTATACTGAATCAAAAGTGTAATCCAGAAGAGAATCAATACGATGTTTGTTTTGCTAGACGAGCGTTTCATTATTATTTTGTCCTTTTGACCCAAGTTGCACAAGTGGATCACACTTTCCACGCTGCACTCCAGCGAGGAGGAGCACTCAAACTACCTCTTTTCAAGGAAGAAAGTGACAGTTGAATCACAAGGCTAAAGCTCCCAGCGTTGAGACTCCTTGATAAAACAGTCTGTGCTAATTAAGGCTCCTGCAGCCACTCAGAAGGACACTTATTACCATTAGTCAAGGGATACCACAAGCCATCTCACCTCACCGAGATAAAAGCAGGATATTGTACATCTGTTCAATAAAGGCACAAGTTACTCCTGCTCTGCACCAAAGAGCTGAGAAAGGGGTCACAAGAGGCTTCAAGTTACAGCTGCCTGGCAGCACACCTGGCTTGGGCACTAGCCTCACTGCTTCCCCTCCCTAAGAATTAATGCTTTGCACATTACTTAGGAGTCATTTCTCTAGGTAAACTTAAACTTATCAGGGCAGGCATGTGAAGCTTTTATTTTCAGCCATTCTAGAGCTAACCCAATCAAAATATATATTGAAGAATGGCTGCAGAAGGGGAACTTTCAAAGCTTCTTTAAGGTGAGCATTTCAACACAGAGCCTGTGATTTTATCTTGATATTCACTGGAAAATACTGCAGAGGTAATCTGATTGTAAGCACTTCAGGGTGCAAGGCTGCATTCAGAAGAACCAAGCTAGAAGTTCTTCAAATCAGTGAAACTGCGAGTGGGTATCAATCAGCTGCATTTTTTTAAGCAGTAGATCTCCCAATATTGTTTTACAGACTATTACTTAGAAACTTCTATTGTAACAGACCTGCAAGACGTAACAAAACAGAAGCATTTTAGATGTCCAGGCTCAGTTCATCTCATCAGCAGAACACTGCATGAGAAGCAATCAATAAGCTTAGTTGAGACATCTAAGGCAGCCAGAACTTCTACCCCAAGCGTGAGCTGTGGGGCAGTACCACTGCACGCGACCCTCACTGTTACAGCTCGCAGCAGGGCCACCACCTTCCACGAGTCTCTGTATTCCGAGAGCCACGTGAGAAAGTCAACGTGATGGGAACGCCCAGCGGCAGCTAGGCCTGCACCAGGCAAGGCTGCAAGGCTCAGTTTTAAGTCCTGCTGTCCTTCTACAGGACAACAAGGTTGGCAGAGTCAGCTCTTACTTTGGTTATAGATGTTGGTTATTCAAAACCAGAGTAAGACACTTTTATGTGCATTTTACTCCATCACCCCAAATCACCATGCTTACCTAGGAGAGATTTCAGGGATCTACAGAACTAAGCAAGCAGTATCCAAACAGTATCTCCAGAAATAGAGGCAGCCATTTACTCACTTGGGGAAAAATGTGGGTCTGCGTAAGACTTTACTGCTCCTTAATACTGACAAAAGGGCTGTTCCTCTTTCTATAAGATTTATCAATTTAGCACTTCCATCATGAACATCAGGGTTTGCAGCTTTAAAATAATTATGCTTGTTAAATTCAGGAATTTCCTTTTGAACAACTTCTAAAGCCCATCTCCTAGTGAAACAGGAGAAGGGGGAAGAGGAACATCCATACTGAACTTGCTTCAGTCCAATTAGTAATCATTTTAATAAAAGAAAAAATTTATGCTTTTATGTGAAATACAAGTTTCAAGCTCTCTATGTCCAAGCTTTGCTCACTGTATTGAATAACCTGTTCTTGTAAATCAGCATGCGCGCTCAGTGCAAGACCTTCTACTTGAAAAGCAGAACACAGAAGGCCTATTCTGGTAGGCCAATCCAACACTTGGTTGTGAAACTGTAAGCTCCGTTTAGAGATAGTGTAACTACACACAGGGTACCACATACTGCAGTATGTTTGTAATGATGTACATAACTTCCAAGTACCCTGTTTTTAATCCCTTCTGATAAAGAAAACCTCTATGCTCTACACAGCCACACATGTAATGAATATTAAAGTTTCATGGCTTTGCAACGCCTAACAGTGGGGGAAGAGGTGTCCTGTACGTAGATTTTTTTTTCTAAAAATAAGATACTTCCAGCAAGTACAGCACAACAGCAGCATCTCATTTCAAAGCCCAAAGATCTCTTACACCAGTCAACACGAGATAAGAAGGTGAGTTCTGTGTCTGTCTCCAACACTGCAAACACAAGGACTGTGTAGATTTAAAGAACAATTTCAAGACTCTAAGTATTGTTAATTAGCACAGGCCACCTCTGAGGCAAATTTTACCCCCAATACAACTGCATGAAACTATTTGATTGCTACTACAGGAGTGAAGAGCAGCTGCCTGAACATCTCAAACCAACATTGGTAAGATTACATGACAGCAGTCACATTTGGTTGAAGCCTTGTAAGGGCTTTCTGCAGCTTTAAGGCATATTTAAAATTAATAAAAAAAACTTCCAACTATATTCTGCATATTAAACAATGGTTGTACTTGGCTCAAAACACAGATGTTTCAGCACACATTTATAAAGCATTTTTTTCATAATATGAACTTTTCTCCATGCACACAAACAATTTTACATGCAATACTCCATGACATACACTCATGAAAGATTCAGGGTAAATTGTGCTTGTTCAAAACACTTTCAGCTTTTTCTTATTTCTCAATATTAGAAATACCACCTATCAGTTACTCAACTGGCAACAAGTCTCGTTAAAAAAAAATTCAAATGCAATTTCCAGTTCTGCAAACACTTACATACAAGGGACTGCTTACATTACCATTTACGTGTCTGTGTATATAAATAACTTTACAAACTCAAGACTTCTGCATCCCTGTAGAAGTTCTACTAGGAAAACTGTGATTATACAGAGCCAGAAAGTTGAACTAAGAGCTCAGAATTGTTTAAGAAAGCAAGCAAGCCTACTGAAACTATGCAAACTTCATATGCAGATTAAGAGCTTCAGTTAACAGAAACACTACACTAGAGGTGAAAAGAAATTACAGCAGCCTAACTTCAGTTTGGGCTGTGTGTGAGAAACTAGCTATGGCCTAAGGGTTAGCTTTCAGATTAAAAAAAATAAATAAAAAGATACACTAGAATTCTAAAAACCTGGACAGCAAAGAAAAAAGCTTATAACAAGATACAGGAGTTCTTCCAAATGGTTCACCAGCGGCCAACCTGTTTGTCCCCCGATTCCAGTGACCTATTCTCAGAGCACTGGCTTCTCCTTGGGGATTTTCGATACTTCACTCACTGTTGCCATGACGACAGCTTCATCTTTATGTACCACTCCACATCACCCAGGCTTTGGTAAATGTAGCTGGTCGCTGTATAGTCGGTTGCAAGGGAAAAAAGAGTTGAAGTTAATAACGTGTACAGGTTATGTAATTGTAATCTTGTAAAAAGTACAGAAAAACGTTTACATCCTGCTTGTTAAAAAAAGGGAAAAAAAGGAAAAAAGCAAGTCTGAATATCAGACTTAAACATTTTAAGATTAATTTCATGCAGATTCACTCGGAATCTCAAAGCAAAAATACCCATCTCTCCAGAAACAATGGGTCAATAGCAGTGTGTGATTTCTCTGGACATGAGGAGTTTTAGACACCATGTAACATGCATAAGTGACACTGATTTGGAACAGGCTGCAAAGATTCAAGTTCACAGGTTAAGTTCAGTTTCTCTGATCCTTTCCAACGCACAAAGAAACAACTAAGCTGTATTCTCACTGCAAAGAAAAGCACTGCGTATGATCAATTAACACCAATGTCTGGATCAAGGCCAGGACATTAAGAATCACTGAAGCAGCTTTAGTAATCAACTAACCAGATTCCCCTTGTCCTAACTGTGGTAAGAAGTAATACCACAGAATTCATACTCAGGTAACTTCACAGAAATCCCAGGACCATCAGGGATAAAAACTTGAAGAGAAAGAGAACAAAGCTAAATTCCATTCAAATTACAATAGTAACAACCATTTTTCCTCTAATTAAAACTAGCTACAAAGAGCTGAGCACAAGGCAAAAAAAGGAGGAAGTTTTAACTGCAGCACAGAAGCAGAATCCAAATAATGTACTAAGGAACAGCTGGTTTCCCTGTGGGATTCCTATTCTATTCTACTTAGAAAAGGTAATACAATTCCCATGGTAACCTCACAATATAAGGGAGGAAAAGTTTATTTCGGCAGCTAACTGAAAACAAAATCCTTTTAAAACTAGAGTTTCCTTATAATCTATCACAACTGACGTACTTCTGGGAAGATCTTAATGAAAGTGCCTCACGTTAGCTTTCAACAAGTGTTGGACTGAACCGCAGTTTGACAGCTCCTTCCCTTCACCCATTCTTCGCTGCAACAAACCACACCACTTTGCTTTACGTGTTAAAGCTTCTTCCTTCACAGGCCAACACTAAACACAGCTGAGAACAGCTCCACAACTGGACAGACAGAACTATCCAGGTCTGCACACAGATCAAGTTAAGTTCATGTTCCAGCTTCACTGACTGACACAAACATGCTGTACTATAAAAGCACAAGTCTCACTTTCAGTAATAAGAGATTTCTCCAGCTTCCAAGACTCCCTTAGCCACTCCCTGGCGAATGGGTGTCATTAAAGCTGAAAACACTGGAGGCCACGCCATGTTTTCTTCGCTTTTTTCCAGGGTTTTTTTCCTCTAAGCAAAAATTATTACTATTATTCAGCTTCCATCCTTTGTAAGCTAACATTTTATTGCCACTATAAACCACGTAGATGACTACACACTAACACATCATCAACAGAACTACCAAATATGGTTAAAAGATAAGAGCAGCAGATGCAGCAACCCACTAGTTGGCTACTCAAACCTAGGGCTTCCCATCACAAGGAAGGTGTCAAATTCGACCAGCAAAGGGCCTAGAACTGCCCCCAGCTCCCCAGACCCGCAGCTAGGCCAGGCCCAAGGTGCCTGCCGAGCAGGCAGGGTCCCACTGGAAGCAGCCAGCGCTGCGCCGTGCTGCCTACGCAGCAGCCAAGCAGCATTCAATCCCTTCTCAACTTTAGGACGTTGAACTTAGCCTGGAAAATCCTGCGAGCTGAGAACTGCAGCGTGTATTAGTGGCAAGAGATGCGCAGGGCGGCAAGGGATCCAATCTTACCTTTTGGCTCTCAGCTGGCGCAAGTGATGGAACACATTGATCACGTCCCTTATGCGGCGCGGCGCCTCCTCGATTTTGGACGCGAGATTGATGCAGGCCATGGCAACAATCTGCAAAGAACCGAGAGGCGCTCGGGTAAGAAATACGTGCGGCGCCGCCACGGCCTTGGCGTTACGTAAGGAGGAGGACAGGCGGCCTGCGGCCGGGCCGGGCGGCCGTGCTCACCTCGAAGCTGTGCTTGACGAAGGACTTGGAGTAGAAGAAGCGGTGGAAGAGCACCTGCCCCGTCGCCATGGCCACCTGCGGGGCAGCGCGGAGGGAGAGCCCCGTGAGCGCGCGCGCCGCCGCCGCCATTTTGTGCGCGGCGCCTCCCCGCCCGCCCCGCCGCCACAATGGCGGCGCCCGCCCTGCCCTGCCCTGCCCCGGCCGCCGCGCACCTGCGGCAGGCGGAGCAGGATGCCGGCCGCCTGGATGAGCTCGCAGCCCAGGATGCGCAGGTCCGTCTCGCACTGCAGGTCCAGCCCGTCCTGCATGGACGGCGTGGGCGAGAGGCGCTCCTCGGGGATGAGCGAGTGGTCGATGGTGAGCGACACCTCCGAGTAGAGCCGGTCGCCGATGAGGATGCCCGGGGCGGCCGCGGGGGTGGTGGCGGCGGCGGCGGGCGGCGCGGATGCGGCGGCGGGGCCCGCGGCGGGGCTCGCGTGGCTGCCGGCGGAGGCCATGATGGCGGAGGAGCTGCGCACCCGCGGCCGGCCACGCACCGACTGCCAAAGAGTCCGCCCGCCCCGCCCGCGCCGTGACGACACACCGGGCGCGGCGCGTCACGTGCGCGGCGGCGCGCGCCGCGGTTGGCTGCCGCCCGGGCCCCGCCCCGCGGCGGCGGTGGCGGTGCCGTCAGTGTGGCGGGGCGGGTGAAGCGGCGCTGAGGGGGCTCCGTGTCCCGGGGCCGGCCCGCGAGCGCGGCCCGCCGCGGGGAGCCCCGCGCTCGGCTCGGCTCGGCTCGGCGGCAGCCGGGGCGTTTCGAGCGGCTTTAGCGTGCAAACAAAAGCAACGTATGAAATAAAAACAACGCACGAACATAAAGCCCCGCGCGCCCGGTACGAAGCGGCTCTGTTGGGCAGCGGGGCGGGCGCGGCCTCGTCCCGCGGCACGTGCCGGTTCCCCGCCGCCTCGAGCCCCCGGCGAGCCGACGGGCCCCGCTTTGTTTACAGCCAAGGAGCTACTCGGAGCTGGGAAGAGCCGCGCTGTGGTGGCGTGGGGAGCCGCGGCGCTCCCCCCGCGCGGCCCCGGTCCGCGCTGCTTCCCGGCACAGCCCGGCGAGCTGCCCACGCACCAACCGCGGCTCGGGGGGCGCCCAAACACCGCTCCACGCTTTTATTTAAACACAAACAGACCGGGCCGGGCCCTCGCGGCTCGCTGCTGCCGTGCTCCGCAGCGCGGCCCCCGCTCCCA